ATTTCTTGAGGGCTACAATCAGGCTAAGGGAATGGGCATAAATAATTAGGTGTAAACAAACTGCTATCTATATTGCCTGCCAGCACTCACTAACTAGCTTACATATCACTAGGTGGTAACTTCCTAGGTAAAGGAACAAAGAACAGACAGGGTGCTGCCTCCAGGAATCTGTTGCTACCTTGTCTCCAGCTTAACAGAATTACAAGGAGCCAGTTTCCTTAGGCTCTGTTCTTTTCTCCTTGCTCCCTTGGTACAGTAAACTTCTGACTCATATCACTACATAACTGGAGATTTTTCAGTGATCAAGAGCCATTTTCCACCAAGGAACCTTTAGATATGATCATGCGCCCTCAGGTGTTCTGAGTTTCTGTTGGCTCACACAACTAGAGATCAGTCTCCAGCAGGGAATCCAGCTATCTCTCTGGTCAACAGTCCATCAGTCATTGGCTTCAAAGGACATTCACCACAGATAGGCTTGAAAAACTTGTCCTATGCTTCAAAGAGTGGTAGCTACTCTATGAGCATTTACTAGCTGGCAGGGTAAAAAACTGTTAGCCCAAGTTCTATAAGGGATAGTTAAAAAGCCTGAACAAGATTACCTATCACTTTATGGGAAAAGGTTTTAAAGTATACAATTTAGCTCTTAAGTACCTAAATGATAACTAGACATACAAGAAAAGGTTGGAAATTCTCCCTTACGCTAATATGTTTTGGTCTCATGACTGTGCTGCTTTTGGAGAACGCTCCTTCTGGTATCACCCAGAAGTCGTCTCTCTCCACTGTGTCTCAGGTTTAGCCTCCCAAAAGAGACCTGCCCAGAACACTAAAGCCAGGATATGGCTTTTACATGTATCCTCCTGGATTGGCATAGTTCTTTTTGTCTCCTCTGACTCAGAGATGGTGTATGAAATGACTTCCCTCTCTTTGGCATCAACAAATGCTCATTTTTCTAATGGCTTCCCTTAGTTGGAACAGTCTATAGAGTTTTTCTAATTTTACATGCCTCTAAAAAGGAAAGTACAAGGAGTTAATAAAATTAGGAGTAAGGCCAAAGAAATGAAACTGAAATAGAGCAGGCTTGACATTTCCTCTAGCATGTAGAGGGGGATCAGAACAGTCTGGGGGCTGGGGAGATGGCTCAGTAGAATAAGCACTTCCCTGGCAAGCTCAAGGGCCTGAGTTCAATCCCTGGTTCTGCCAAAAAAAAAAAAAGAAAGAAAGAAAGAAAAAGGAAAGTAAACTCATACTTATATCAAATGATCTTGGTGGATGACCTCGAAACCTGGGGTACCTGGGACCAGTTGTGTTCTCTAAAACTGAAGAATGAACTTTAGGAACAAATGGAGTTTAAGAGTAGGCTCAGGGGCCGGGGAGATGGCTCAGTGGAATAAGTACTTCCCTGGCAAGCGCAAGTGCCCGAGTTCAATCCCTGGTTCCACAAAAGAAAAGAAAAAAGACAGTAGGCTCTTTCAAGGTGAATGATACTTATTCAGAATATCAATCCCTGATGTCCACCCATAGTGAAGTATGTGGCTGCATTTGTTTACTCTTTTGTCTTAAGGTCTGGCCCAAAGTAGGAGTCTCTCTCTTTCAAAGCTGCAAAGTCACCTTGTCTTCCGTACTGTCTCCTTGAAGGCCTGGCCCTATCTGACTGCCTATAATATTTCTATCTAATTTAGCTGAGTTCAAGAATACAAATCTCACAACTCCTAGAGTCTTTAACAAACTGTATAGCATATCCCTTCATTCTCCTATCACTGTGAGGAATAATTATAACTAGCTCTATCTGTCCCCACCAAACAGATCTAAAATCTCTTATCTATTCCTCATGGTCTTACAACTCCCCTACTGTTCTGCTTAGCAAAATAATTATGAGCGAATTCATAGCCAAACAGTACTATTAGCTCAAGGATTACCAAGATTATTTCCACTAATAGCAACCTGATGAATTTTTGCAAGCCTAACTAGCCTCGCCCTCCCCCCTACTATTAATCTAATTGGAGAACTGTTATTATATCAACTCTCTTTACAGCCCTATACTCTTACATTAATTTCAACATGAGAGAAATTACCTTATCACATCTACAACATAATTCCAACATTCACAGGAGAAAATAGCTCTAATAGCTATTTTCCTAATAGCTCTTCATATTATCGTTACACCTATTGACTTTTTTTTTTTTTTCCCAGAACTGGGGATTGAACTCAGACCCTTGCACTTGCCAGGGAAGCACTTATTCCACTGAGCCATCTCCCTGGCACCAAAATCTTTTTTTTTTTTTTTTTTTTTTTCAGTATGGGGGATTGAACTTAGGACCCTGCGCTTGCCATGCAGGTACTTATTCTAATGAGCTATCTCCCCATCCCCCTATTTTAACTTTAAACTCTAAAATTATTCAAGGAAATCTGTATTGTAATTATAGTTTAATCAAAACCTTAGATCTGCTCCCTAGCACTGGCTCCCAGAGCCCAGCCCTCCACACCTACAGCCTCCCTCAGGCTCTCTGCTGCCCTAGCCCTGCCTGTCGTCCTCTCCTGGCCAAGGATCTGCAGGGAGCTGGTGCCTCTCTGCAGGTTGTTTCCTGTGCACTGCCCCTTCCAATGGGCACAGCCAGCGGTCTCCAGATACCTCCTATCAATCTCCTGCTTGGCCAGCGCACCCCCCCCCCCCTTGCAGCTCAGGCCAGATTCTGCCTACCCAACACCTGGAACACACAATGTAGCTGGCTGCTCAAGAACACAATGCTCCTTTGAGGATTTCTCTCTTTTTTTTTTTTTTTTTGTGGAACCGAGAATTGAACTCAGATGCTTGTGTTTGCCGGTCAAGTGCTTATCCTACTGAGCCATCTCCCCGGCCCCAAGAACTGAGCTAGGGCTGGGCCCCCTTGATGATCTCTTGAATTGTCAGATACTCTTTTTTTTTTTTTCTTGTGTATACAATTTTTGTGTATGGATTTGGGAACTGTAGCTACACACATACAGCAGGGAGAGTGATAAAGAGAAATATTAGTTTATAAACATGAAAAAGATCTCTTCCTGTGCTATTTAACTTATGAAATATGATAGTGATACAGGGGAAATGAAACTCCCAAACTGAAAGGCACCTGGGAAGAGTTTGTGCTCTCTAAAACTGAAGAATGAATTTTAGGAACAAATGGAGGTTAAGAGCAGAATATTTATTGGGGGGAAGAAAACTCCTGAGAGAGGGACAGGAGGGGGGCTTGAGCTGGTTGCCCAGAAGCTGTCTCTTCCAGGGTATTTTTATAGGGCAAAACCATGCAGGGCTAAGGTAGGAAAAATGGGAACTTGCTTGGGTGGGCATGAGGTGGGACAAAACTATGGTCAACCAATGGGATTACAAGCACCACCTCACAGGTACAATTGATTAAATCCAGGACCAAACAGGGAAGCGAGTCAGATAACAAGTGGGCATGAATATAGTACAGGACTTTATCCAGTAGCCAGCAGGTAGTAGTTGGATTAAAGATTCTTCTTGTCTTCCTCAGGGTGATGATCAATCCCGGATGCTAATCTTTAGGGATGTCAGCATTTGTTTGATCTTTGGTCTCTAGGTCTGGCCCACAGCGGGAGCATCTGTCTCTCCCACAGTTGTAATGTATCTTGTCTTCTGTGCTGTCTCCTTGAGGGCCTATCCCTGTCTGACTGCCTATAATATTTCTATCTAATTTAGCTGCCTACAATAATAGGGTCTGGGCTGAGTACAAACTGCTAAATTATCATGGCCCTGATTCAACATGGCTGAATCCCAAAACAATAGCTTATCTTTCCAAGAACCACTTCTTCCTTCTTCCCCATTCTAGCCCTGGATACAGCTTCCTTTTGCTAACACTGGGGAGCCTCCAACCAGCTCCTTTTTTCTTTTTCTTTTTTGTGGAATCGGGGCTTGAACTCAGGCCCTTGTGCTTGCCAGGCAAGTGCTTATTCTACTGAGCCATCTCCCCGGCCCGCAGCAGCCCCTAGCAAAAGCCCGAGTCTCAGCCTCCCCTCTCAGGTCAGAGGATCTCGCTGTCTAAGACCCCCGCCCTTCATTCTCTCCGTGTCTTTAGGGTCTTTAGGGTTAATAAAAGCTCTCCCCACTTTACTTCTGCTTCTCTGCCACACCACTACCCCTGCTGCCGGTAAAAATCTAACAGAATGTTTGCTTTTCTTTCATCCTTCCTCTTTTGTAGACTAGGAACATATATTCATTTTTTTGGCTGAAAATGAATAGGAAGAGAGAGTGTAAAAATCATGACTAGCCTGCTGACTCACGCCCAAAATACTGGTCTGTCAAACAGCCAAGCTCTCCATTCCATGTGTCCTGTCTGTACTCAGGATGTTTTCTTAAATCAGGGGATTAGAATACTGACCACGTAACATTCGGAGCACGTAAGTAATCCATTTTCAGGGAGCCCACGCCAAATCCATTAAGAAAATAGGAAACTAAAAATCCAGAAGTGAACTGCCTAAATGCACTTATTGTCAGGCACGGTGAGGTCGACGCTGCCGGGACCAGGCTCGTCCAGCCCGGTGCTGTGCCCAGACGGGCGCGGGGAAGGCCCGCGCGGCGCGGCCCCGACGACACCGCGTCCCGGGGTCTGACCTTCCCATTCTTGCAGTCCTGAAACAAACTTCCCGCTTCCTTCGCGCGGGCACCAACGACCTTCCAGTCCTCTGCGACAGGACGTTTCGCCAGCCCGCGCAAACTCCACCCGTTCAGCCCAGTGAAATCAGCCCGCGCTTCGCGGCCCAGGACGAGGGGTCTCCGGCCACCGCCCGCGGCGCTCCCGCGCACGACAGCGCTTCCCGCGCTCGCCCCGCCGGCGCCCCCGAAGCCGCCGACCCTAACCTCCAGGTGCGGGAGCTCGCCGCTCCGCACGCGTCGGCGGAGGACGGGCAGCGGCAGGAGCCAATGGCTGCTAGAGGCGGGCTGTATGAACCGTCCAATCAGGAGCGCCAAGGGAGGAAGGCGCCGCCCTGTCATGGCGCTGTTGTCTCGGTCCGAGCTCCCCGCGGAGAGCCCGGCGCCCTGCTAGCTCTGTGACTACGCGCTGCCGAGGAGGGACCCCGTGAGACCTTGAAGCCGCACAATGGTGACGCTGTGGGAGGAAGTAGGCACGGGTCGGAGTCGGGAGGAGGGCTGAGGAGGCGGCCTGAGCCAGCCGCAGGGAACCGCGCCTCGCTGCTGTCTCCGGACCCTGCGGGTCTGCCGGTCGCGGGCACTTCTGTCGCTTTTGCCCGTGCTGGGTCAGGCTTACTTCCGGGTTCCCTGCGTCTTGTCCCACCGTGACACCTGGAGCCCACAGTGCTGTCTCGGGTCGCCGAAGGACAGCCTCATCTGGACCCATCTGGGGAGCGTTCGCGGCGGGGGGGAGATTGGGGAACCCTGCTTCAGATGTGGGCTAGAGCTGGTACTGGGGAGAGTGCGCGATTTGGGGGACCCTGCTTCAGATGTGGGCTAGAGCTGG